TAGTAGTAGTAGTAGTGGTAGTAGTAGTACTAGTAGCAGTAGTAGTACTAGCAGTAGTAGTAGTAGTAGTAGTAGTAGTAGTAGTAGTGGTAGTAGTAGTAGCAGTAGCAGCAATAGTAATGGCACTGGTAATAACATTAAATAATAGCAATAGTAACAGTAACAGAAGAAATAATAGTAGGACCATGCACTGGTTTCTCCCTAGACAGATCTTTACTACGATATACCGCTTCCCCAGTCTGACCGTTCAGGCCCCTCGTCTAAGCGCCCTGACAAGGCTCAGGCCTCCAGCAATAGTTTGCAAATCGGTCTCAAGAGACGGGCACTTCACAGCATTCCTCTAAGGGACCTCTCAGGGTCACTATCATGTTTATAACTTGTGACATTGCTCTCTCGTTTGGGGTGCTGCGTGATAGGCATCGTATTCAAGGCAATTTTGCCCAAAAGCCTCTTCTAGTTAGCAAATGAAGCTTGCTGCTGGTCTTGCAGTCGGGAGGGCAAACTCGAAGAGTCACCCACCACGTAACTGAACATTTTATGCATCTTTAATCATCTTCAAGATTCCTCTACAATGTGAGGAATGCTTACGTTTCCAGGGGGTATTGTGCCGTCTGGGCATGTGAGGTACAAGTAAGTACACACTGCCTGTTCCATAGCGTGCTTCGAATAGCCCGGGATACCATGGCACACCCCCGAGAGGAGAGCAGACACTTACAGGAAAAGGAGGCGGCCTTCTTTACAAGTCATCTTAAACCCGGCTCTACGCGTGCAGGCGAAGCAGGGATTGTTCCCGCAAGTCTGCACTCAGAGTGTCCTGCATCCAAGATTCGAGTCAACCAAGTTTTGTGGGGTGTTGAGGATGACTCTAAGGAAAGTCCATCTGCTCGTGCTTTTCTTCGTGCACCAAGCCGAGGTTGAAATACCGTGCCCTTCGTGTGATAGTGTGACAGTCGGACTGCCGAGCGGAGTCACGCGGTCTTGCAGGGCGGTTCTCGCAGTCGTGTGCTTTGCCGTCGGGTTGTAGCCCATTCGCGCTGTTCGCGATGATGCAGTCCCTCACTTGAGCCTTCAAGCATCCAGCATCCAAGCACCAGTTTCATGTGCTCCGGAGTAAGCCTCGAGGCTTACTCTGTGGAAGTCTCTGTGTCGCCCTCTGTCTCCGACTCCTTGTGAGAGCGGCGAATGGTGAATATGCCAGCGAAAGAGCTGACGCCTCGTGCAAGGAAGATTTGCAGCAAGCAGCGACCGCAGCGTAGCGAAACAAGTTGGCGCATCCCAAGACCTCGGTGATGCTGGGATCCCTGCTCCGACAACAAGTCAAGAAGCAGCACCGGCTAAAGTTGCCACGTAAATTGGTGCGTCCAAGAGGCATGCAAGCGCAAGCATGATTGTGTGAACAACCAATGGTGCAGCAAACCAAAAGACGTGCGGGGATCCTCCTGAAGGCTTCACCTCCCAGAGAACCATGCAAGGACCAAGAATGAGAAGATCGAGGGCGACAAGCTTTGCCATCATCTTCAACACAAAGCACCTTTCATCTTTCGAGCTCATCCAAAGAACGAAGACTAGAGCAAGCCGAGCGCCCGCAGAAAGAATTTGGATCCAAGCAAAAAAGACCTTGTGCAGGTACACCATCTGAAAGCATACTCTCGCCAAGGCAAAGAACCCGGTCATAAGGGCCGCAAACGGAAGTGCGATCTCGGCATGGCCCGCGCTCTGAATGTCGATGCCGGCGCGAGCTACTTGGGTAAGCGTTGGCGATGACATCCCGGCCGCTAACCTGGGTTGGTCAAGGGGGTCAGCTGAGTTACTAGAATACTAGAAGAGTAGGGGTACGCAATGCGCAAGCTGTTTAAATAACGTGCTTTCCTTGTCATGGTTTTTCATTTCAATGCATGTTCCACCAAGACAACCCAGTAGCAGGACAGAGATTGCATGGTCCACAGCATCGGTCTTCTCGCCAATCTCCTGGAAGATTCGCGCTTTGTCCGCCGCCTCTGAACATGCAGCTTGTGTAATAGAGCCTTCGAAACCACGACAGAGCTGGAGTGCCTCCAACCTCGTGATCTGGTCGCTGACACGATCAGTTTCAAGCCTGTGAGCTTGCCAGGGAACTTACTTTTGATTCCATGGCAGCGAGCCCCTGTTGTTCGTACGGCTTATCCCTACCGTAATTGTGCAAATTACGTTCCTGAAAAAGGACCCAGGCGCAAAAAGAAGAAGCACATGCTGGTCACAACGACAACGATTTGCGCCAGAAAGGCCAAAGAAACTTTACCAAAGGCTTCGCTGATCATCGCCGTGATTCCAAGAGTATGCCAAAAAGGGATCATGAACCCACACAGGAAGGCACCCAGCCTGTTGCAGAACATCCGACAACAGTTGCTGCTGCTCGTGGCACTGGCAGCAGCGACAGTTATTGCAACAAGGCATAGAAGCGCTTCGGGCCAGTCTTGTTTCAAAGGCTTCGTGCATGCGCCGATCGGTATGCCCAGAAGCCCTGGCAGCGTATTCAAGCTCTCTACCTGACACCCTTGCCGACAATGACCGACTATGACTATTCGTCCATCCGTCTATCTATATCTATCCATCTACCCATCCATCTCTTTGGATCCAGCCGTTCATACACCCATCCCTGTGTGCCTAGGTATCTACATTGCCTTCTAGAGATCCTTGCGCATGGCTGAACGGCTCTTCAGCTACCCGGAGCCGCCGGGTCGTGGAAGATGCTATCCCTCATTTTAAAGGTGCCTGCCAAGATCGTAGATGCCAGGGCAGCTCCAAGCTGCTTTAGGTTGGAAGCTCTTGCGATGAAGATCATCTTGCCCTCCTCCTGTGCCCTGTAAGCTTCGTATCCGCACCAAAGCCTGCAGCAGATGCGCGATACCCAATTCCCGTCAACAAGAAGAATACATCCGAACTTATAGCAGGGATTCTGTGTGTAATCTAGCAGGTGTTCGTTAATCACAAAAGAGTACTAATTTTGCAGCGTATGTGCGGACTTGTTTTTTTTGGTCTTTGCCTCGTGTAGATGCTGCAATGGCGGTTGGGCACGACCAAGACGTAGGTCGATGCCTGGAGGCGCCGAGCCATCTAAACCTTCTAAACACTGTTTTGCATAGTTGGTTAGGGTTGAGTGCTTGGGGAACCCTAATTATCTAAATCCTAAACCCCAAGCTCCCGAACGCTTGCCGCCCCCACAAACCCGCAATCTGTTCTATAACACCCCGAAGCATCTACGTCTTGGCCTGGAGAGCTAACGCAAAAGGCGATCTGCTGGGGGACTGGAGGAGGGCTCCGATGTCCTTGGTTTCTTTTTTTGGGTTCTATGGGGGGTTCCAGAGGGATTGAAGGGTTTGGAGGGTTTAGTGTAGGGGCCCAGAGTTTACCTTAATGGAACGTAGTGTTGAAGGCGACACAGGAAGAAGGGTGTTGTAGAGCTGTCTACGAGGTTTTGGACGGTTCCGAAGTCGACGAACAGGAAAATGGGGTTTACAGTTGTCTAAAGACATTTATGCGTATCTGGTCAGAGTTGTACAAGACTTTAAAAAGCTTAGTATAGGAATCAGAGTAAACAGATGTGGTCTCCTCATAGTCATTGTCTTAATATACTCAATGAGTTTCGAGTTTAGGGTCTTTGGGTTCAGGGTTTTTGTGGTTTAGAGGGTTTCAGGTTTAGGATTACCAACGGAAGGGAGTTGCAGAAGTTCAGGGGGTGGGAGACATGGCGAGCTCAAAGGAGCCACAACAAGAATGAAGCAGATTCTTGTACTATGTATTGTCATACTCTGGTATCTTAGAAACGAAGATATGTGTTCGGAGCCCAGCATCTAAGTTCTGAGGGTTCGCAAGCATGCAACACCAGGCATGTCGTGCATCTGCAGGCCTAGAATGCAAGACCGTCGAGAGGAACTCGAACACACCCTCCTGCCAGGCATGGCTGAT